TCCCTAAAGAAAAAGATTCTGTAACATCGTGATACTGTTAATAATTCGTACAGCTTAATGACCACTAAGCTGCAAAGTAAGTTACGAAACAGCTCGCTTTGCAATTATTACACTTGGCAGATTTTGCCAAGTTCTCTCTACAAAAGCATCTAACATGTGATTTTTCCTCCAATTGTATAAACTCGTTGGTTGTCTTGACCCTTATCGAAGACAGAGCGGAAAATCTACAGTAAGGGTACTCGACATCGATAAAGAGTTAATTACGTTATTTGAATTAGCAATTAAAGAACGGATTTTTCCGCCAACTCCGTAGCTCCCACGTCTCTTTTTTTCGTGAACGAAGTTAGCTTCGCGGGCCAAGTTAATTACAAGTTACGAAATTAGAACTTTACCGCCTGTTCGCGGATCCCAGGACGCAAATTAATCCAGCAGGACGGGGATACAAGAAAAAGAGTATAAGCGGATCCTGTTAAAAATATCGCCCTCCTAACAACGGTCGCATTGGAGCAACGCAATTTGAAAATTAAAACTTCAGACATTTCTCATGACAAGGGCTTTCCTGTGTATTCCTTTCTGTGTCACGCAAAACGTGCCGCCCTACTCACAGGAAGGAAAAAAACGCGAGCATGTAACGCAAAAGATTGAATATTCAAACCATTAGGATTAATTGGCAGATCTTTCCAATTCAAACGTCTGTAATATCTTTTTTTGCGCGAGAAATTTCCATCCCGTTGTCAGGATTAAAAGAAGAATTACCATACGTCCACACAAGAATAAAATTCTGAAATTAAAACTAAGTTTTTCTACAGTGCGGTAGAAAATAATAAACTTAGCGCGGTACTTTTGAAGTTCACTCCTCATTCACACTTATTCGTATTCAACTTGCTACATTTATGACTTCCGCTAAAAGTTTCAGTCTAAAGGATGAATAATACATTTCCTATCCTATATGATACCGCGATACATACTGCATTTTATTTTCCAAAATACAGCGTTTTGCCGAAGAAACAGCGTATCGGAATAAGAGTTGCGCTTCGCGAACGGATACGTCAAAAAGTGGAAGGAGTATTTCCGACGGAAAGACGGGTAACAACTTTGAAAATGAGATGCAAGAGCAGCGCAATAAAGAAAGCACGCTTGATGGTCTATTAGGAAAGACGCAAAACAGATTAAAGTGACATTATGCAAAATTGTATTGCTCTCTGACTTTCTGTTCTCTGTCACACGTGTATCTATGGGCGTCGCGCGCAATCAGCGACGTGCAGATGTGACGTAGCAAACGTTTCCGTATCGCCGGTAATATCGCGACGAAAAGTACCCGAAGGCAATTTAAATTAGGGAGATATTCCACTGACTGTAACACGCGGGGCTGCTATGTCGCTTATTTTTAAATTATGCCGAATATCGCACTTTTCTGCGCTTCGAAAAACGTGAATATCGCGGCAACGAATACACACAGGATGGCTAAAATAAGGTGCAACATTTGAGTAATGTAGGGCGTATCTTTTGATCGTTAACGTGGTGTCTATAAACGTGCGAGTGTATTTGTTAAACCTTCACATTACATGAAAAATGATGTATTTGATAGCGAAGTATTTTTATCTCCAGATAATATTTGGCTTAATCATTTAAAGATAGCGTATGTCAATGTTAAAACTTTCCACGGTACATCCGCGTAAGAAATCAACTATTCTCGAAACAGTAAAACAAACTCGAATACTTTTAAATCAATAAGCAGCAATTCACGAAAATATCTTTGCAAATAATTTTTATTAGAAATAATCGCGTAAATTTATACGTACATTTTTTGTTATGTTGTTTAAGTAATTTGTATACAAATACAGATCGAATTGCATGTGATTTTAGCCACCCTATATTGCAGCCGGGCTGCGAATGAGAGCGTTGTTTACGGCCGGTGTGGAAGCGTAATTGAGTGCGCTTAATAAATAAACAAGCTCGTGCTCGGATACGCATCCACGGGATGCATAGGGAGGTGAGCTGTAAAAAATGAATTCATTTTTCAGAGAGTGTTGGTTGGTTCGGGAAATATACCGTCGCGACATTCCACCCGAGTCGCGAAAGTGTGCGTGAAAAGCTACGATAATCGGCATTGCGTTTAATCAATTTTCCTTTTATCGATACGGAAATCATTATTTGCGGTAAACACATTAGAGACAGAACGGGGTGTCAGATTTTATTTAAAAGAAGAGACGGTGAAAAAAGGGTATGGTCTAATGAAGACTCTTCGGGAGTACATCGGTTCGATTGCGAAAAATCAAAGAAGGAAACTTGAGACAATGGCGGAACTGAAACCGTTCGCGTCCTTCTCTCAAGAAACGAATCTTGATTAATGGCGCAAGTTTGCGTTACCATGTCCCGCGCCGGCCATGTTCGGAATGCATAATGGGTGGAATACATTAAAATTCAACCTCGCCGGCGAACCCAAGAGAAGAATCTCTCTCTCTCCCTCTTTCTCCTTCCCTCCATCCCCCTTTTCTCCTCCTCTCTCCGCAACAGCGTCATTCTAAACGTGGAAAATAACATCGTTCTTCTCGCAATTAGCGCGGCGTCTTTGATCGATGATGGCAATTAGGTCGGTCCGCGTCGAATACACGCGAGAAGTGCATCGGCTGCACACGGCCGATCGTTAGGGAAACCCAAGAAAAATCCCCGTGGCAAATCGTAAACGTTACGCGAGTACATCAGTCACGATCTTTCGTTAATGGCCGATTCGTTGAATAAAGTCGTTCGCAGAGATATCTTCAGCCGTTGATGTCTCCGTCTCGAGCTACGCCGTCGAATTAATCGACAAGGATCGTGGATGAGGATTCTTAAATTGCTCTCTCTTCATATCTTTCCGATAGAAAAGAAGCGCGGTGGAATTCGTTTTGCATTGAATGTGATTGCGAATTATATTGAAATTGTATCTACTCGGATCTGTCCTCAAGCATTAATAATAGAATCGGATTAATATTTCTGTATTTTACACTATTACAAATGATATCAATATACAAAATATAAACTCTTCAAAGTTTTTGAGCGAAAATAGAACCATGGAGGTGAAATATTCACCTATTGGAGCAAATATTTACTCCATTAGAGCGAATATTTACTCCAATAGAGCGAATATTTTACTCAATGGTTCTATTTTCACTCCCAAAACTTTAGAATGTTAATTATTCGCAACGATATTATTCGCCACTTTTTCTCAAGCATTTGTTATCCATAACGTCTCTCTAGTAATAACACAAAATTTATGATTCTGACAGCTTGACATTCTCAGTGCCACGAGGCATCCTTTAAACTGCTTCGTTGTTTTAGAAGCACAACAAAATGCTTCCCACATATTCAGTTTACAGGAAAGAATTTTTTAGGAATTTTTTACAGACGTAAAAGACAGTCTCACATGTAGTTAACCTTCACTCTTTAAATTTTTTTTCCCAGTATTTCGCCGAGAGTGAGTATATTACGTAAAACACAGGTTTCTCGCCGGTAGGAAAATGTCTAAAAATAATTACTCTCTAAAAATACCATAATACGTGAGCGCTCGCGAATGGCAAATAGCGGCAGAGACAAAAGTTAATATTATCTCTAAACGATATTATAGTTCCATTTATGAATTTTTGTTTTCGCCTTGATGGCGAGACTAAACTCGTATGACACCGTGTATTAGCCCGTTTAATACCGTCTGCAATTTCTAGTTGAAACACGAGCCACGCAGCAATTTCAGCGCAAATTGCCGCGTTTTAATGGCTCCCAGTTGATCCTTTAAACACTTTCGTGCTATATAGCATTAAGTAGCTTAATAATTAACTCTTGGGCAGAACTTGCGCTGCAGTAAAATTCATCGCGAATTAATTGAAAAATAATATCCTTGTACACTTGCATCATTTGCATGTGTCGTTTAAACGTTTTGCATATTCATTATTAAACAGTTCGCCTATTAACGTATCAAGTCCTCATTAGACAAAACTTGAGCTCGAGTTAATTATGGAGTTAACCTTCGCTTCCGTTAACATTAGGCGTACGCTACGTAATACTTATATTTACCTAGTTTTCCTAGAAACAGCAGGTATTCGCTAATTACGAAAATAATGGAAGGATTTCGATCCGTACGTAATGGTGGCTCACGTCAGTTTCAACGTTGAGAAACCTCAGTGACTAATCTGAATACCGGATCGACAGGACGACTGTCACGGCCGCGCATTAATAATTTTTGTTTATTTTAGCATAAGAATACGCTTCATGTGTTATCGTGAATATTATCTCGACTTCGCCTTGACCCGTTTCCGACCATCTCGAGACGATCTCGCGTCGAGCGGCCGCTTACTCGTTCGGTTGCTCGTGCCGTGTATTTACATTGACCTTTTGCGCCTTATTAAGCAGATTACATTGCTAAAATTTAGCACCGCGACCAGAGATATTTATTCGCGCATTAACAGGCGATAGCCGGCGGGAGAGGTTGCACAAATTGCAGTATCGGCGCATTTTGCACCCTTCGAATAATCAGCAATGTAACCTCCGATAATCCTAATATAATAATGTAAATTAAATCTCTCCGTGTAACACATATAATGCGACAGCAGAGTTTCAAAACGGGATAATCTCCGGCGCGTTCAATGTTCGATATCGCGGAGAAAATGTACCGTAAGTCACTTTTCTGATCCTCATCGCCGCGAGTAGGCATATCGATAGCTATTCTCGTGCGACATCGAAATCTCGATTTGCCCGAAGCTACATCAATCTCAATTTCTTTTAAATTTCGTCTCTTTTTCTCTTCATTAATTTTTTCGGAATTTCCTCCTCTTGTACGTGTTCGTTATCCTCTCGATCGAAAATCATTAAGGAAAACGTGAGATGTCTTATCGGAGCGGCTCCCGCGATAATTCGCCACGAAGGCCATAGAGCCGAGCACTCTCTGCTCTCGATAATATCCTTCGGTACACACACACACACACACATGCACACACATACACGTAGATTTCATGGCTGCGACTTACCTTGTAACTACCGACCGCGTGCGCGCCATCGTAGATGTAGAGATGGTCGTTGCAGTCTAACTGCAGCTGATCGAATCGGAGCATAAACCGCTGGAGGATGCTGTGAGTCTGGAAAGTAATGGCGCAATCGAGGTCCCTCTCATTTTGCGAGGTAAGAACGGCGCCGTCTATCTTCCTGTAGAGATCCCGCAGGAAGTACTTCTTGCAGACGTCGCTCATCTGGTCTGTAAGGGAAACGGAAACAGACGGAAGGGAGTTAATCGATCTGGCTCGCTCGCGACCGGGGAGGGTTCGATACATACGTATCCTATCGCGATCAACATTCTCCACGACATTGGCTTAACCGTACAAACGTGAAAGTGGGATGTAATTGTAAAACGGTTCGACGTCGTCTAAATTGATCGTATAATACAATGAACTTTTTCTTCACGGTATCTTCGCGGAAAGACCGGCTAAGGCAGAAATAACTAAAGTGTTGCCGTATAAATAGTAGGGGCATCTACATTGTTTTGTGCTGCAACATTCGCTAAGTTTGCTGCACAAAACGCGTATAGTTGTCTCCACTACTTATCATACCAACTGTGGGTACACTGAGAAAAATGCTTCGATTGTATCAACAAGACATGTATGTATTTTGGCTGAAACAGAATTTCTAGTTAGCACGATATATAGGGCTCGATATTTCATAACCAGAAGTTTGCTAGACTTCACTACACATCTGGTAAATCCTAAAGGAAATCAGATTCGTCTATTTTCTAACGACTGGTTGAATCTATCAGATTTTTTTTTCAGTGTATGATAACCACGGATATAGCTGTCCCAAATATTACTATTTATTGGGGTTGTGCCAACCCTAATTAGACATGTGATAACCATATCCGTCTCTCCGTGTTGTATCACGGATTAAGAGAGGTTTTTTCTGTAGCAATAGTATTTTATCATAACGTGTGTCGACGCATTTAAATCTGCATTCGAAAAAAAGGAACACCAGCATTAAATTAGCACGACTCGACATTTTCAAAAATTATATAGAGATAACAAAGTCATCGCTCGGTCGGCTGCAATATTTCGCGTTTCACGTGTCCCTCGATGGAATGAAACAAACATGCAATTGCACTTTTGCTCCATTACGCGCACGCTTTAAAAACCGCGCTTACAAAGATGAAAATCACGTTTTTCTAGGTCAGTCGCTGAAAATTCCACTTTTGCGCGCGGATGACGCGCCGTGACGCCCTCGTACAAATAGCCCACAATGCTAGCGCGCGATTGCAGCCGGCAGATTTGCGGATTTGCATTTAAAACGAATGATAACGAATGCACGACAGTCGGCAGTCGACGCAGTCGCGAAATAAGTTGCAGACGCACTTTGTCCCGGACCAGAACGATATTGCGATCGCTGTAGTTTCTCGACATTATGCCGCAACATATTTCGGGACAGGCAACAGAGGTTGCAGAGGTTCTGGAAACTTTGCGCTCGCGTCTTCGTCTCTCGCTTAGTCTTCCCCTTTCTCTTTGTCCCCAACCCATTACCATCCCTTTGCAGCTGGGCTCTGCAACATCGAAATTACTTACTTCCCAGGACCCGCGGTTCTCTGACGCATGCGTTTGCTCGCGTGCGGCTAAGGTGCATGCCTGCAAAACGGTCGTTGCGTCACCAACCCGGCTGCGTTTTCGGCCGTGTTGCACGGGGAGCGTGCGAGTGTGCGGCAAATAAACAGCCGCGGGAAATCCAGCTCGAGCATTGCACCGCGCGCGATCAATTACATAGTAATAATTTACCAGCCGCTCCAGCGGCAAGATGCAAGTACGAGATAGACGTAAAGCGATGAATTCCGTCCAGTCATTACGTCGCGTAATCCGCAAAATTGTGTAAACGCGTATTCAGAATTAGACTACTTGAAAAAGTTTCGTCTCGCGAGCTAGTGTTTTCTCGAGTAAATAACGCGTCTGTCGTGATCTTCTCGTTAAACCTTGATCCTTTACGACGTGCGATTTGCGGCACAGCATACTACATTATGTGCAGGGCGGCATATTGTACAAATGTATCTGTTTTATCGAGCCGTGACTCGAGTTTACTATCAACAATCGTGTGTAATAACAACTTCGTCAAGCTGTTAACTTTTACTGCCATTGACATGAAATTTTACGAGTCCCCCTCACACCTCCGCGCCCGCTTGTCGAACACGTACGTTGCGTTGCACATCTGGGTGAGGCGGGTGAACAGGAAAAACGTGACTCGCCGTTAAGTAATGTATTATGGCACGCGCAGGTGGCATTCCGGATCGGCGAGACAGAGGCTACCGTCGATACGCCTCTGACTCCCCGATCACACGTGAATCGAGAACCGATGCTCCTTCCGTATATCGACGAACGTCGCTATTTTTGTAGCGGCACGACGAGTCTAAGATACGCCCGATAATTGCGACATGTATATTCCATCCTGCCGAGTCAAGTGTTTTGAAGGGGCACAAAAGCGCCATTACCTTAATATTGAGTAAGCTGGTGCTTCTTGTCATCTGGATATTCAAGACAAATAAAAGCGGGCACGGGAAGCGTTTGAAACTTCCAAGATTCACAAAAGGCCTTTGTGCGATACGGCAGAACTGAAGTCTTAAAGAGGCTAAATTCGGTACCCGGGGAGAGGATTTAGAGATCAGAAAAACAAGTACCGAAGACACAAATCTTCGTCGAGTTCGGGATCAGTTTTAGGGAACATAAATTTTGTAGGAGCAGCGAGAATATTCGAGAGAGAACTATTTTCTCAGACAACCATGATTTAGCGAATTTAACGGATAAGTAACTTTATTGTAGCAAGAAGTTCCGGCTCTCGAACTTCTCTTATACGAGATGATCCACTATGGACAAAATATCTAAACTCCTTCCTTAAGATTTTCGACAAGATTCAGTGTCTTCGGGAGACGAGAATAATGAAATAGACTGAATGTTCTTGAGCTTGTTAGGATCACAGTTTTATTTTTAATTAAAAGTGGATATTTGGTCTGGAAAAATTAATAGACTATTAGCGGGTTTTAAATATTTAATATCTTCTCGAGAACTTTAAATCCAATATATACAGGGTGTTTCAGGATAAAGTGTCCTAACCTAAAATATGAACTTAGGACCTCAAAACAAGAAAAAACTTTCCTCTGGAGACATGTCCGTAGACGCATTGTTTAAGAGATATTGACATCTAAACATTTTTTCATTATAAAATTTTATGAAATTGTTATCGGGTTATAATAAATAATTTAATAGTGTGCTTCAAATACTTTATTATTAAAAAATATGAAAATTTTTACTTAATTATAAATTTTGTTCAAAGTGACGGCCTTGAACATTGAGACAGGCTTGACATCTGTCTTTGACGAATTTGACGGACCATTGGATTTTTTTGCTTGGGGTACTATTAAACAAAAATCCTACGAAAAACCGGTTAATGACATTAATTCTTTACAAGGAAGAATTATTCAAGCATGTGAAACAATTACAGCCGCTCTGCCACTGGTACCGTCAAAGACAGATGTCAAGCCTGTCTCAATGTTCAAGGCC